GAATATAAAAACAATTTTCTTTTTGTTGGGAGCTATTGGAAGTGTCACAGGGGACCTGCCAGCTATGGACACTTGGCTTATGGTAAAACAAACCCGTCCAAGACTTACCACAAACAATCACAAAATCTAGAAACAAGAATCCTAGTGTTTAAATGAACATCCATTCTATCCTAAAAATATCCTCATCTGTGCAACAGCACTCCACACTGAGTTCCACCAATATAAATGGACTGTCAACATTCTATAACAAATACAGAGAGCTTCACCAGTAACCTGACAATGCAGGTTCTTATAAGAGTGCCCAGCACTGCTACAGTGGCATTGACTTAAGATACTAAAAAATAAAGAACACAACGCACAAATTAAGTTACTACAAGATACAAAATATGCAATACATCAATTAGGGAGGTATGTAATAATGTTAGGTAATGAACCAATTGGCATTCTGTTTGGGATACAAATATGTCAATATTTTAATGCTCATGGGTGTCGGGTACAGAGAGGAGCTTGTCATGTTGTTTCACATGTCTATAGCTAAACTATGGACAGATTTGTGCATGTTCCCACTCAACCTTATCATGTGCACCCTTTGCACAATCATGTACGCACAAGTTAATTCTACAGCCTTCACATATGTTGATCACCAATCATTATCACTTTAAACAAGGGCAAGTAAAGATTGACAGATAAGAGTTACCAATTAAATAATCATACAAAGAATATGCGTAGAGAGAATACAACACAAAAATATGTGATGAGAAAAAATACAATAGAAATAAAATACAATTTCTAGAAACAAAATATTGTACAACTGAAAATTACTTTTTTTAAAAAGAGAGTGAAGTTTATGTCTCAAAACATTAATAAAAATCATAAAACGAATAGAGAGAGTTGTGGGCAAGCTATGGCGAAGGGCACTTGCTAGCCCACTTGCAGTCTTGAGTATTCAAAACACCAGAGGATGGCGCCAGGTATCTCTAGTGTAACACTTGTCATACCTAAAAATAGTTGCATGAGATTCACACCTTCGGCGCTCGACCGCCTTCAACACACTTTAACACAATTACATGAAAATATTTTTGAGTGAGTGTTATGGATTGTAGTGCTGCGATCTAAGTGTCATTACGAGCCACACTAGCCTAGCTGCCAAAACATAAACTATAAACAAGATCATTCATGGCGATGGTAACAACTTTGGATGTGACAAGATACTTCAGATGACAAGTGACAAGAGTACTGTCTATTCTAATTGGATAGAGGCATATTCCTTTCAGTTCTTCAGTAAGGTGCAAATCGATTATATCCACTCCTATAGACAGCGGCCTGAAACAAGACATCAACGTCTTAAAATCATGTTCAGAGATCAAGACTTGCAGATTGTAAACTTTTGAGTACTTACTCCATAACTCGCCACAGGTCCAACTCCATGACTCAGGTACGGATCTGGGTATTCCCGGCCATAGCTACAAGAAGAATTGAAAGAAGCATAAAATATGAGAATAGACAACAAAAATATATTATTATCTGTCACATGAAAACCTGCAAGAATTTGGGTACTTACCCAGCTATTGTGGCATAACCAGCTGCAGGTTGAGAAGCTGCTGCATTATAAGCACGTGCAGCTGCTGCTGAGTAATTGGCAGCAGCAGCAACGTAACTAGCTTGTTGTGCTGATGACATTGGTGACTTCAACAGGGAGGAATTTGAAGCGGCAGCAGCAACTGCAGCAGCAGCCTAGAAAGTTCATACAACGTCATCAACAATTTGTGATTTGCAAGTTCTTTCAAAGAGGTTGAAGGCAGTTGAGTGTCACATGGTTTTACTGATCAAAGACACAAAATTTAACAAGTCCACACTTAAGAAAGTGGAAAACAATAGGAGAATATTCATTTAAGACATTTTACTGTAATTGATTCGCAATTAAAACTGTAAACTGGATCAGCCAAAATTATAACATATTTAAAGTGAATTATTATTCAACATGCAAGATATGACTGTTTCAGCTTTCAAATATGGTATGTGTCAATAAAACACAAGTGAAATTTTAACAATATTTTGGCGATAATTACATTTCCGCTTCCATTTACAACAAAACCACAAGCTCACAACAGTTCTTCGTCTCATGCATTCAAATATGGTACAGGAAGCAGATAAAGCTATCCCCAAACCATCACAACTTCAGTGTGCAGTGCATAAGTTTTAATGGGATTGGGCTACAAAGCATTATCAAGCAATTAGAATGGAGTGTAATCTGATCATCTTTTCATTGACTTAAGATTGAGGATGACCGCGGTCAAGGCATATTAGCAACCACTTTTATGACTCCAGCTAAGACAACAAAGTAATGTTTCTTCTTTAACTAACAGATATGTATTATCTATATCATTTACAAATATTAATCAATTAGATAAAAAAGTAGTAGAAAACTTCATTAGATATTTAAGTAGAGAAAAAAAAATCTACATGTTCCTAATGTTAAATGTTTGTCTAAGTTTCACTAGACAGTTTTTACTTATGTCCATGATATTGCTTTCATACCCCAAAATAAATGAGCACCGAGCCTCTAGAAACAGAGGGAGCAAGAAAGGACACGAAAGAAAAACAAACGTTCAAAGTATTCAAGACATGTTCAAAATCATGCATATTGTGCTGGCTCTCTTGAGGCAGCAGACAAGAATATGGCTGTCCCATCTGAAGCCAACTGTCCAGTCAAATGTACACACGAGTGAAACTACTAGAATTACGTGTCCAATTTGGCGATAAGACAAGCAAGAAGTTCCTACACTGCTTTAAGAGTAGATGAGGTGCAATGCTATCCTGAAAATACAGTTCAAATGTATATATGGCTCATTGCACAGCATGCTTCCTAGGCCCAGTGGCCTTGTGAGGTCCTCTTCACCCAGGACAAGCTGTTTCCATACAAAATACAGTAAGATAATTCTTCCAAAAAGCTGACATTTATGTGAAATTTGCTTTAGAGAACTTCAATACTCAGCCAATCTCAATTGTCTTCAAAGACAATGTATGCTAAGAATGTGAATTGTGAAAACATTCATCTACAGTAAGAGACAGCATTCCAGGGTACCACACTGCTTGACAAAATTCAGCCACCAAGAGTTAATACCAAACAGGCCTACATCCATGGCAAAACATTCTACCAGCGAGTGAGCGCTGGCATAATCAGGCCAGTTTCTAAAGCGGGAAAAGGATAGAAGGGGAGAAATTATTCATTCCCAAGATTTGAAATTGTCTTTACCTCTGATACGCAGGTTGCCGCCTGCCAACAAAAACCAGCTTTACTACACACTTTACTTCACATTAACAAATTTTGAGGAGTCTTATATTTTGAAAAGGTATTCAGCATGAATTATGATAGGTTAATGATAAATCCCTGAATTGCCTAACACATGAAATCTGAGTATGCCACTCGATGGAAGCCAGCAAAGAATGAAAGAAATGACAGTTGTACTCTTTAACAAAATAAGGAAACACCACATGTGCAAGATGTGTACATTTTTGTTCACATTGAATGTGTAAGTCTGATAAAACTTATTAATTTTTTTGTTTTATATGTGATAACTTCACTACCTTCATGTTCAATTAAGTATAAATGAAACAGGTTGCAAGCAACCATATCATTTGAAATTCGAGTTTTCATAAGCTCATGCACTGCTTACCTGTAATCTGAAGTTGTTGTCTGCTGCTGATGCAACTGCCAGGTACGGGTCGAAGTACATGCTGCTGTAACACAAGACAGTTTTGGTAAAGGAATTTGTTATTCCAATTGTGATTAAATTATAAAGGTTGATAGTTTAAGATATTAAATTATCTTTTTAATAGAATGAGTATATTCAATGATTGATCAATTTTTTTTGTCAGAGTTAAGGAGTGAATTTTTGAATATAAAAGTGAACTTTAAAGATACATTTATAATGACATGCGTTAAAAACAAGTGCGCTGAAATTCAGAATATCAAGAAACAACTCTAACAACCCTTTACCACAATAAGCCATGCTAAATGCGTACATAATTGGCTCTGCATGCGTCTTTCTCTCTTCAGTACAGTATTGGTACTAAGAGTTGAGTGTATTAAAACTACACAGAAATTCATACCATCTTTGGTGTGTTCTAAGAAAACAGCTAACTGCTTCTTAAGATAAGAGCCATTGCTACACAATAATTTTGTTGATGAAAGCAAGTTTAAATAAAGTATGAGATTTTCTACAGAGCTACACAGGAAGATTTAGTGCCAGTTAAGACAAGGTTATCAAACCATATTCCACTCCAATGTCAATTTCTATAATACTTACAGCGACACTAAGTTGGTGTTGATATATGATTTGCATTTAAAATTTTCATAGGTAATAAATAAATTATTACAAAATTATTGCTTTACTTATAAGAAAAAAATAAAAAATAAAACTGAAGGACTTGCTTGTCCTACTTTACCCCGTCTGAAATTTATAAAATGACAAGTACATGTGTTCCTGGCGACAATTATTGCTCGCCCCTTACTTACGCTGGATATCCCTGCAGGGCAGTCGCAGCAGCTGCTGCAGCCAAGGGTGCAGGGTGCCTAGCATATGCAGCAGCAGCTGCTGCTGCAGCCGCCGCTGCCGCAGCGGCTGGGAATGAAGAACGCGTTGCCCGCCCACGCTGGATGGCTACACCACGAAGTGCCGCTGCTACACACAAACCACGCCATGCAAGGTCAAGCAATAAATGTGGTTAAAAACGCCACGCCAACCACTGCGCATTTTAGGCATGCCACTAAGTCAACAGTGCGACACATGGTTAGGGAGTTGGCAGGACACAGAAATGCTGTTTAAAAAGAAATCAACTTCCTTATTTGTTTTTTAACTGAGTAATTTACATTTGCGTATAGACTTTGGTAATATACTAATTGTAGACTGACTGACTCAGAAAATGAAACTAAGAACTGTACAGAGTCAGCACCTCATCAAAGCCATAAGAAGTCAACAAAGCATGCTGCCAAAGAGGAAGATGAAAGCCAAACAAACAGCATTCCCAGTCTCTAAAATCTAACACAGTTTACCATCAGAAAACAACAGGTCAATAGAAGTGTCTACATACATACAAACAAAGCATACAGAGGAAAACAACATGCAGATTGGCGATTGGTTTTGGTGCAGCGTGAAAACACAAGAAACATGTTAATAATGTGCTACTGCCGCCACGCTACAGCACTGCCTCTTGCTACTACCTCCGGCGCGCTGTTCGCGGCGTTAGGACCATGGGTGCTGCCGCCGCCGCCGCTGCTGCGGCTGTACTGGGACTGGCGGCTAAAGGGGTTGCTGACGCCCCGAGGAGGCTCCATGGGACAGTAGGCAACCTAAACCCTGTACCAACACTCAACAGTTCAGCGACACCACCATCTGTGGGCCCCACAGGCCACAATTCCCTTGTGAAGAGCACAATGCATTTTCCCAATAAGAAAAAAAAAAACATGGTTAACAAAGAACGCCACATTAGACTTTTTAAACTTCAGAAAAAAAGGCGTTAACTTTATTAACAACATGTTTGCAGACACAAACAACTTCATTCTCCATACATGACAAACAGCAGTGGTAAATATTCCAAAAGCAAACTGCATTTCTGATTTTATGATTTCCACAACATTCAATACCACTGTTTTAGTTAATTCTCAAATTTGAGAAAAGTGGCATGCTCAATTAATTTACATGGCTCATCATGTCACACAATTTAAGGGACGTAACTGTAGATCATGCACAGCAATAGACCAAGCTGAAAAGAGAACATGACTTTTTTCATCCCCCCTCATATGCACTTCAATTCAATTACCCTATTTGGCTGAAACATTTTTTGTGGACTATGATAGATGTACTTAGTTATTGAGTATTGAAACACTGGTGATAAAACCAAAAATAAAAGTAGGCAGCTTTCCAGAAAAAATAAACCAGACAAAGTTAACTACATGCCACACTGAATCACAGATATTCAGTGCAGGGTTGCCTGAAGGTCTGTAGAAGTACATCAATTACTCAAATATTTATCAAAAAGCCTATTTGTTCAAAAAATTCAAAGTGGTATGTACTGGGAAAATAGTGGTTTTGATTAATTTGTTTGATTGCTGCTGATGCAGAGCATTTAATGATTGCAAAGTTCAAAACAGGAATTTCTTCCCTCTTGGGCAATGTAGTGCAGAGAAACAAAAGCCTTTAACATATTTCTAAAATGAATATAGAGTATAAAAGTAATAATTTGAAGCTGTTACGTTACCTTGTGTTGGGCTGAACATCGCTTGGTCTACTGCTGCTCCTATGGAACAAATAGAACACAAACCATTAGCATTCCGATTGGGCAAGCAAAAATATTGATTTTTCATACACAAAAGTATCATACATTTATGCTTCAGATTAAATGTTAGTGTATGCAAGTAAAAAATTTATGAAGCCTCAAATACTAATTCAGCTAACCTGACCATGCAATTTCAATTTGTAACTTTTCATCATATTTGTTTTTGTTTAAAATGCTGTCATATAATGTTCTCTCTTTTAATGATAGACACCAAAAAACCTCACATGCTGTTAGAACCAAACATACAATTGGTCTGATCAAAGTTTTAACTAAAAAAATAAGTTTTCAAACTTTTCAGTAATGAAATGGCATGCAACTTGTGTGCTGAAAGCTGAGAGCAAGTGGATAGGACACCTACCCTCGGGCCACTGCACGCACACTGCAAACAACAACAAGCATACATCTTAGCTACCAAACAAAATATGAAGACAACACTTGTATTTCTGAAGACAAGTGTTTTGCATTTGGCATAAAAGCAAATCCCCACCAACACCTATCCCCACAAAGAAAATACACTGCATTACACTAATGATATTGAGGAGAGAATAAAGGAAAAGACATTGCCTGTTGGTCCCAGTATGTACTTGTATCACAAAATCAAAGAACATGCACTACAAGAACGCTCTGAGCAATGTTTAGAGTGCAATTACATTGCGTAAACATCAAAATGAATCAATTGCTACTAAACAGATTTGGGTACCCCAAGAAAACACTACAGAGCAAATAACAAGAAATTAATGGTTGGTGAGCATAAAAATGGATGAAATTTAGATACATACTACAGAGTAATCTTTTCACCAACAAATGCATGCAGAACGATATTTAGAGAAAATAAAGACTAGCGGATGGTAAAAATCAAATGGAATAAGATAGATTTAAACAATTTATATTGTCTTGAGAAGAGTAAATCTTAAGTAAAATGAGACACCCAGAAAAAAAGAGACTTTTTTAAAATTTAAAGCGATAAACTTAGTGCCAACACACCATGTCGGTTAAAAAAAGAAAGAAAGAAAAAGTTTAAAACACCAACTAATTTTCACCCAACCACAAATTAAGTACAATAGAAGCTATATACATTGAAATAGCATAAGCATTACAGAGATAAAAATTTAAATACACTTACCGCTAGGTACTGTAGGTGCCTTCTTTGTCTGAACTCTCGCAGTTGCATTATTCACCTGTTATCATTGCAAAACAAACAGTGAGTCAAACAAGAAAGTCTCTCTTCTAAAATCTTAATCTTGATGTAAAATTTAAATTGATTTTACTCCCTAGTAGTTATTTTTTGTGAGGCGCAGTTCAACCACATATCTTGTGGCAAGGTACGTAACAGTTTAAGTACATAGAGCAAAAAATAATTTGATTGTAATCATGGACTGCAATCATCTTAATGTGTTTCAGAAAAGTTTGAAAAAATTAAAATATGGAAAAAAAAAAAAATAATTAAGTAATAGATACTAAATAACAAATTACTTCGCAGAACTTGAACACCTCACAAAATTGATCTTATAGCTATTGACAGGCCATGAGTTTTAATATTTAAAACTGACATTGACGAATGAAAGAAAATAATTTAGAAAGGCTATTGGCCTGTCAAAATCCCCTCAAGAAACACACAGACTGATGGAAGGCAGATATCAAATCTAGATATAATAATTTTAGTGATAGTAAATGCCAGAAACTGATGGCAAACCAAAAGCTCTCTTTAAAGCACAAAAGTTCAGTCAGTATGTGTGAATATTAAAGGGATAACTTATCTATTTTATAGTTACTCGAAGATAAGAGGCCAAGTCGCAATGCTCTGCCTACCACTAGAAGGCCTAGGTCCCCAGGAGCCATGCGATGCTACATACACTGCCAATCAGTTTGTTGAATTTAACTTGAGTACAAATAGACTAAACTGATGTGAATCACAATAATAGGATTAAAATACTACATAGAAAATATTAAACTTGCAGTTAATACTTTCTTTTTTTTCCAAGAAGTGAGCACATATTGAAGATAAAAAATAACCAAAGACAATAATCTAAGACTGGCAGTGATGCGCACTTCCTACACAATAGAAGTAAGCTGTGTTATGGGGTAGATGTGTGATGTATGTTGTACTGACAGAAAAAGAAGAGCGACACCTATAGAAGGGTACACAGTGATGCTACATCGAGGGGTCTAGCGGTAGATAACCAAAAGTTAACTGAATCCTCAAAGGAAAAACTTTCCTTAAAAAATAAAATAAGAGAAAAAGACATGAATATGAATTCATCGGAGGTGAGTTCTAAGTAAGGTAAGGGGAAGAATAGATAAATCCTATTAAAAGTCTTCTGGTAGGAAAGTAGAGAATTACAAATGCAATTTTTTTCAATTTATATCAGGGGAGCAGAGCGTGTACTTTCATCACTTTCATATGGGGATACAGCACTCGCAAAGCAGCCAGGCTACTAACTACAACCCTTTCGAGTCCCAAGTTAAAAGAAAAGAACACCAACGGAAAATAAAGGAAACACCTAGTTGGATACTTCTTGAAAGACCCATATTAAAGGTTTTCATTGTAAGGACTCGAAAGGAAGAAAAATTTTACAATTCTCTTTCTTAAATCTGATTTGTCAAACTCGAAGTGCATACATGCATTACACTGAAAATCAACAAAGCTTTGATCAGACTATTGTCAGATTTTATGCTGCTGTTTATACAGTATAAAGTCTGTGTGCAAAGAAAGAGCAAGACATGTCCAATACCAACAGAATAGAAATGTAACACAGTGGACTCAACTCTACATTTTAATGAATATAAGCCGACAATTTACTTCAATTTAAATATATGGAAGCTTTGAAACTTTGTCTACAATGTTAGTTTAGGAAGAGCAGTATGTTGGCTGGTTGTCTAGTGTTAGGTGTTAGATCAGTGTAAAGTGGGATATGCGTGAAGAGAAACCAAGTGAATTGTATGTGATTATTTGATAATGCTCTCACTTATAATTGATCACATACACAAAATGAGATTGCTCTCACGCATGTGTTAGGATATGCTCGTGGAAGAGAGGAAACATCATACAGCATACACACATCTCAAAAGAAAGGAAAAAAAAAGGAAAAAAAAAGAGGTAGTTGAATTAAATCAAATTAGGATTCAATAGTGACATGTCTTACCTCGGGAACTCCCCCTGTCCCAGGACTGTACCGTACCGTACTATAACTTTCATTCATCGGCACTTAATAGAGGCCGTCTAGAGAGGTGAGAGCAACATAAAATATTGGAATACTGACATATCAACTTGGCAACTTACTCACTAATAGTGGGACGCAGTGAAGAGAGGGACACAAATCCCTGTCTTCACTCTGTCCTCAGTCTTAAATTTAACATCTTACAACTAATAAAAAAGCAAAGGAATATCAAACATAACAGGGAATAAGAAAAACAAAATCAGTTAAAAATATTATAAAATATTGGTAAAAGTGTGGTAAACCAAAATAAAAATGTAACAGAGTTGGAAATGACCGGGACAAACATTGACACTTGTAATAGCAAAACTTTTCAAATTTTGTCACCCTCATATTTGATATTCCTCTGCTACTAAAATCTAGATGTAAGTGAGGAGGGTGAGGTAGGTGAAAGGGTGAGGTGGTTGAGATAGGGGTGAAAGGGTAAGGCCAGATGGCAAGGTGGGTGAGGTAGCGTGAGGCGTGATATATATCCCTTATACATGTGCACAGGACATGAGACACACTGATAACACTTGTGAAAATCTCCAGTGCCAGGAATTAGCTATCCTTAGCAATGCAGGTGTTTCAAGAAATGAAAAGAGTCTGCTATAGTTAATACTTCAGAAAGAACATAATGGAGACAATATCATAGGCATCTTAATTCTTCACACATGCCCGACATTATCACACATTATTTTCAGCCCTCCCCTACATATAAATAGATATAAATGGAATTGATTGACATTTATTACTAGAGCAAGAGATCCTTACTGCATAGCACTGATCTTGTGAACATTGGTCACAGTCTGATACAGTATTGATAGACATAACACAAAAAAACACAGGGCAGAGAATGGACAGATAGGTTTGATAAAGACATAAAATATTTTATCAAAATTGACTGCTCAATTTCTCCCTGCAATTTGTGAAAGGCTTCCGTAACACTGCATGTTTCATTTCTTTGCTTAGAAATCTGCACACTGCATCAATTCAAAGCAAGCATGCAGATCTTGTTACAGACCAATATACAACAAAACACTCATGCTTCCAAAGATATTACTGGTGAGATTCAAGGAGTGGGACTAAAGCCCTGCTATACCATCAATGCATCTCTCACTACTGCACATGAATATGAATAAGGGGTGTAGAGGGAAAGAGAAAGAAGACAAAGGGAACAAAACCAGAACAGCCCTTAAGATTATCACTTCTAGACGGGAACAGCTGTTCTGTTCATCCACATGCTATTCAAGCTGTCCGTCAGCTAATGTAGAGCCCCAGGCGAAGGGGCAGCAAAATGCACAATCGCTACTCACACACCAGACACTGTGGTCTTCCAATAAAGCCAAGGCTCTCATTAGCACTAAATTATGCACAAATAGCAAAGTATTTACATTACATGGAAGCCATTCCCATGTAACGCTACGTAGTATGCCACCATGCCTTGAGGCCTTCGTTAAAATCTGCCTACAGTTATGAGTTTTCATAGCAAACAATTTCATAAAAGATATATTAAACTTCATATGAAAGCTATTGATGACACTATCAAGAGACCACTTTGCCCAAGCAGAAGTAGGAAGTCCACAACTGTATGACTACCACAAAGGTGCAATCCTGGCTCATAACATAATGCATATGAAAGATGCTTGCTCTCCTACTAAAGCAATGCACCCCACTCAGTGCAGAGGAATATGTTACACTGGCCCAATAAATTTTAACCCTGGCACTTTGGGAAGCACCATTTATAATAGCCTATCCATTTACTCATCATGGGGCATGTCCACGTTTCATGATAGAATTAAGGGCGGTTCTGGGTGAGAGGAAGAGAGGAAATGTGAGGATGGGTAGAGAGGTAGAAGGAATTGTTGCTGAGGATTGGCGGAGGGAACTTTTTTCGTTTTCTCTTTTTTTTAAAAAGGAAAATAAAAACGCATGTTACAGAGTTAAAAATTGAGTGCTACCACAGAAAATAGTTGCTTTTCTCTTTTTGGTATATAAGATAGAGATCATGCACACCTCTATCTTTCTCCCCTCAACCACGGTGCCGTGTAGTCGCTCTCGTGCGCGGTCCGCATCAGCACTATTTGCGAATGTTACAAAACCGAATCCCTGCATGCAAGACAGACAAAACATGCATTAAAAAACTTTGCTGGCGCATAAAAACAACGTGCAACAAAAAAAATTAAACATGTATGCAATGTAAATATGATGAATACAAGAATATTTGACAAAAAAAAATATGATTAGAAATATCAGATCAGATTCAACAATGGGATACCCGCTGAAATAAAGTGGCTTATGCTTTCTGGATGATTTGCTATATTCTAGAGTAAAAATTTAGTATAGAAGGCACTGTCTAAGAAATGGAAAACTAGAAACAGTATTGCCATGAAAAAAAATTTGGAATCATGGTTTTCCATGATGTTGATCTTTTTAAATATGCGCATAGATGTGGTAAATGATTTAAGCAGTTAATCTCAAATACAAGCATGTCATTCGGATTACATGTGAAAAGAATAAGAAAGAAAATCTGCACATCAGCCCAAGAATAGTAGGAAATGAAATTCAATATGGGCAAAGTAGTTGTAGAGATCCCTCTGAGATAGGCTGTCCATACACATGCTGTGTTGATACAAGCAATCAAATCTAATCAGATAGAAGCTCGACGAGACCAAAAATAGTTGGGTCCCAGATAGAATTTTATAGAATAGAAACCTTCCAAATGAATTAGTTAAATCATAAATGCGCATCTCATAACAATTACCCTAAGAAAGGGGAAAACTAGAAGTGCCCGCCATGTATTCTGCTGCAGTGAAATGCTTTAGTGTGTCTAGGAGGTTTCTGTATGGGCGATCCCAATACAGATCAGCTATACATTAATATGACAAAAAATGAATAAGATATTCAAATGTTATATATATTACTCATGTTAAAAAGAAAAATAAATTATTTGACTTCAACCTTGGACTTCAACAATATCTAGGATAAATAAATTAAAAATTGCTTTGGGAGAAAAGAAATTGAATGGAAGAGCCCAGAAATGAAATAGAAATATTACAAGGTGAAAGAATATGGCAATCCTAATCTCGGCGCCAGCAAGTCTCAAGCTTAAGTTGCATCACCTCACATTACTTATTACCGAATAAGAGGTGCGAATTACAGAAATAAAAACACACACAAGAAAATATGTAAAAATAAAAAAAACAAACATTTCACTCAGCAAAGTTTGACAGTTTTCTAACTAAGAAGGGGGAGAGAGAAGCTCGTGGCAATTGGCAACACAAACATTCACACACATTGTGTCCTAGCTAGAGACTTCCAATTCCTTCTTCACTACACAAGAAACAAGAAAAGTCAAGTGGACAAGTAAACAAAAATAAGGTGTTTCAGCATGTGAACAGCAGTTTCCAAACAGACATACATAAAACATTGTGTGTAGTGAAGACCTGGAAAAGGCCCCTCTAGGCATAGCTATTGGGAGCACTACCTCTGATCCATAGCTCAGCACCACAGTCTCAACAAGTTCCATTTAAAAGACTAATGGTCATCACCCATCACTTATATCAGACACCACTGTTGTCAATGCTCATCCCTGTTTGCCATACAGCTGAACGCAGCGAAGTCACATTGGCTATTTTGTCCTAGATAATGCAATCAGCACTGTTTTCATGCCATTGGAACTGTTGAACTTGGACTATGCCAGGAATAAGGTCTCCACATACATTGGTTGTACTTAGCATATTTCAAGTGATAAAAACAAAAAAATAGAAAATATATTTGTACAGCATTAGTATGAAATGCCAAATTTTCTTTGCTGCTCTCTACTTGCTGCTATTTACACTTTGCAAAAATATCACTTGTTATGAAAGTCAGTATGTACGTGGTACCAAGAGGAAACCAATGGCGTTCAGCAAATTAATTTCACAATGCAAGAAAGAGGAAAGCATGAATAAGTATAATTTGTACTACCAAAAGTTGCACAGAGAGAACCATACAATCCTTTAGAGGAAGCCACAAGCTCAGACATTAATTGTTAACTGTCCTGTGTCATCACACTAATTATGAATCATTACATAGGAAGACTCTGCTAAACACCAAAGAAATCCTGCACATTACTGGGGTAGCATATCACATGGTTTTCTACCCAGGCGCAACATAGCAGAACACTCTCAAAGAAGCGGGGTTTGTTAATGTTACGGGCGCTCTCTACGGATGCTGATAATCCCAGAAAGCCAACTTAATACAAGGGTCAATGTGATGACTATCGATGAACCTCTTCAAAGTTTGACTCTTTCAAAGAGATTACAATGACAGAAACCATCTGACACATTGTATATATTTGACTAACAAGGGAACCCCACCAAGTGTAAATTCCCGATTTTCATTCTACTTTGGGAAATTGTTGGTCTAAATATGTCATCGAAGGACACATCAAAGATTTTTGCTTAAATTCATATTTAGGGGTCATTTTGGGTATTTGTTCAAAAAGCTGCTATTTCAATTATTTTTTAAAACTTTCAAGAATGCTTCCTAAGAGGTAACTCGTCAAATTGCGGCCCTCTGGGCGAAAATTTCGTCCGTTTTGCTCTATCTAAAGCCGTTTAGGCGCTACCGCCACGTTTAGGAGGGGAAATGTCCGGGAATCACTAGGGCTTAAGAGAAGCGGTTGTAAAAAGCAGTCCCACAAAAAATGTTATAAAACAAAAGTTGTAGAAAAATGAAAGCTCTTTAACTTTTGTTTTATAACATTTTTTGTGGGACTGCTTTTTACAACCGCTTCTCTTAAGCCCTAGTGATTCCCGGACATTTCCCCTCCTAAACGTGGCGGTAGCGCCTAAACGGCTTTAGATAGAGCAAAACGGACGAAATTTTCGCCCAGAGGGCCGCAATTTGACGAGTTACCTCTTAGGAAGCATTCTTGAAAGTTTTAAAATATAATTGAAATAGCAGCTTTTTGAACAAATACCCAAAATGACCCCTAAATATGAATTTAAGCAAAAATCTTTGATGTGTCCTTCGATGACATATTTATACCAACAATTTCCCAAAGTAGAATGAAAATCGGGAATTTACACTTGGTGGGGTTCCCTTGTAAGCCCTTGCTGCACCCAGGAGGTCACATGAGTAAATTATAACAGTACACAAGAGACAGACACAGAACTGGTCCAGCTTCATGATAGTAATTAGCTCCACAATCTAGATAATAATTAGGAAAAAGAGAAAATATTACAGTAAAAACCTAAAAAAAGGAGACAAAATAAACCTCCTGGGTGCTTTACTATATTCACACCCCATCACCATTCGCATTCTAGGCCACATTGTAGTGCTTGAGTCTCCCCCTTGATTAAACACAAACTTGAGCCACAACTATTAATTAAAATGCTTTGGTGAATGTGGGAAAATCATCACAATCCATAGTGACATTTGATTTCACACTCTAAAAGCCACGAAGCTGTGAATAAAAAGCCGCAAACTGTATAGAAGGCTAGATTTTTTCTGTAATTTTGAGGCGCAAGATGAACTGATTTTGCTATTCTTTTAGAAAGCAAAATGACATTACTTGGACATATTTCAATGATTGAAGACTGTATCTTGCGCATCTAAACCACAAATCTTATGTACATACACTGTGCAAACAATTAGGCTCAAATGGAACATGAAAACTCCTTTATATCTTTCTTCAAATCTGCTTCTGCATAGAAGGCATATACTACAGCATTCAATTTTCTACGATTCAGACAAAATTCTGCATAAAATGCACCTTTAAACTAAAGATGAGGAAAACAATCAGGGAGTAAGGCACAGCCTTATCCAATTGACATCAAGAGGCATCAAAACTTTTTAAGGACATGAAAATACAGTATATTCAAAGGTGCCAATGTATAAGAAAAATGCCACAAGTAAAGCGCCATTATGAAGCAACAGTCATCAGTTCAACATCTAGCCAAAGGAGAATATGTAGTTAGTAAACTTATTCTACTGAGCATGTATCTGCCATAATAGCATTCCCTTCAACTGAAAACAAAATGATTAAGAGAGCTATTTAGGAAGTAATGCAAAAGTGTGCAAGTAGAAGCAATGTTGGTTGGTTTGGATGAACAAATAAAACATGAATACCTCTCATGCTTCTAAGTGCTGTTTTCTAACTCTAAAACTAGAAGTCTATAAACAGCTTGATTATGGTATTGATGTAATGATAAAATACAGTTGATGACCAAAAAGCTCAATACAAATTTGGTCATGTCCCATTCCATTTGAGAATTTGAGAAACTAACACTGAGCTAAACAATGCTTCTACTTGCACCAATGTCATTCTCTGCACTCATGTAGTCAAAAATAATAAAAAAAATAAAAAAATAAAAAAAGGAAAATGGCAAAGACTACATTGAAAACAGAAAATAACACCGAATTACAAGTTCAGTAACAGATATGGTTCTTGCAATTAATTCACTTTCAAATATTCTTTACTGTAAATGATTGCAAAGCATATGTAAAATTAAATTGGATGTCTGTTCAACTGTCATCAAAATTGTAGTTATGTTTCAGGTGAAAGAACAATTACAAGAACCAAACAGCAACAGGGTGCCCTTAAAGAATTTTGAACTGATAGATAGAGAAAAGTATATATATGTATAAAGTATATATATGATATTAACAAAAGTAAAATGAACGGCACCAGTCAATAAATACTGATGGTAATGCTGATGGAAAGGTTATGTCATAAATTCTCTATCAACAATTCAAATAAATCTTTATCAATAAATCTGCAAACAGATCAAACATTTCACCACAGATATAATGAGGAAATTTAAATCAATGCATCAGAGATAGATTGAAATCAAAATTGATGACTGTCTCAAATCATGACAATTTAAAATAAGTTTTGATCATGGTAATTGAAATGTTAAAAGAAAAATTGAGTAGGAATCTTACCTTAGATCCCCGTTCATTAAAAATAATTTCAACATCCAGAATGGGCCCAAATTGCTGAAATAAAAATACAACCAATAAATATTTGTTATAACTCAATACACTTGCAAATTTGTGATATAATACTTACTCCAAACATTGCCCGTAGATCAGGGTCTCTGAATCTGAAGGGAATGTTAGAGACATGTAGTCTCTTAGGAGGCTGTTCACCGGCTTTAACCAGGGCTGATGCAGCGCTTTGAGGTGATGCTTGTCTTGCTGGTTGTTCTGCTTCTGGCTCTGTTTGCTGTAAACAGACAATGACAACCATAAGAATTCCTCACATAACATGTAGTTTCACTGGTTAAGAAGCGCTAAACATTCCACAAATCAAGAGGCCAGGTCAAAGGCGCAAAACACCACTAAATGTAAAATGGGGATGTTCACTGTGGGAATGGGAAAAAGTGGGCAGTCAGCAGACACATGGTGTTGGAACACTACACACCATGCACCACATCCTCATCCCCTCCATTGACCACGCGACGGCAAGTCGCCCGGCCCGAAGACTGGCAGGCAGAGGCTAATAAGACAATTAAAAATGACACGCCAACTAGGGCCGCCTGCTGGACAGGGCCGGGCGGCGCACGATGGGTCCTAACGGTCCTAACCTTATTTTCGTCGGGGTTCTCGAACTCGAACTCCCCCTTCACGCCCTTCTCCCTTTCGTCGCCCTCCTCCTCCTCCTCCTCCTCCTTCGACTCGTGCTTCACTCCCTCCGCGTCCATGGCTGTCAACACGGGTATGAACCTCGGCGCATGTCCTCGCGGCGGACAAGGGTCACTACTCTCGCCCTGCGCGACGCGACTTGACTCGATACGATAATGATGACCGGGACCGGGACTGGCCGTGCCGTCTGGCCTGCTGGCCTGATCTATCTCGTCTGATGCGTCGCGCTGTTGCAGCGGTGGCGGCAGCCAACTAAACGAAAACGAAAACGAACAGAACGACGAGACGACCGCGCCGCGCGCGCCGCACTACCCGCGACCAGCCGCGACACGGGCATTCACGAACACGAAACATGCGCTGGCGTGCGTGCCGAGCCCAGCCGAAGAGATGAGAGAGAGGGGTGAGTGGCGCCATCTGCAGCCGCGAGCGCGCAGCGGCACGCGCGGGGTCTCTGCCGCGGCAGAGCCCCGCGGAGTATCGCCAGAAGCCAGACCCAGGGAATGAATGACTCTACTTTGTCACCGGAACGTACGGCATTCCAGAGTGGATGGAAATCACCTCGAGAGAAATTCCAACCAACGCGAAAGGTGTAATAGCTGTACGACAGCATGCGGCGTACGCCTGGTAGACAGGCCGCCTAGTTACGCGCGACCCAGATATCTTTCGTCTCAATTGTCTGCCCTTTAATGATGATGACTGACGACGGCTCCAGCGCGCGGCCGGCATCAATGACCAGGCCGGGTTGGGCCGTACTACCGGGGCGGGCCGGGGCGGGTCTCGGGAGCGGCAAGGAGAAGCGATAGTGTGTCCGCGTCGAATCACGCCTCTCAAAACGACGAGAGGGAACTCGGTCGCACTGAAAGCGGTCCTCGAGGAATATCCCGGCAGCCACACCGCGCTCCGGGAGCGAGAGAAAAAGAGAGCGGGAGAGGGAGAGAGTACGCGCCGGGAGGAGAGAAAGAGACGACAACGCGCGAGGGAGAGAGTGAGACGGATCAATACAGCCGCCACAGCACAGCACAGCTAGCGCGCCGCCGCCCGCCGAGGACGCCTCTCTGTTTTCCCACGTGCTCGGGACACACGGACAATCCCGTGGCGCCCCCGCCGCGCCCCCGCCGCGCCCCCGCCGCGCCCCCGCCGGTGC